ACAAGTCATAGTAGCGTTGTCCTCTGTTTTTGTTCACATTTACAACTATCCCGACGATTGAAGGAACTTAGTTATTGCGAATAATTATGTTAGTTCAAGTAAAAATACCCGTAGCTGGTGTTCCTCTAGTAGCTGGTGTTCCTCTAGTACCTGGTGTTTCCGTAGCTGGAACGTACACACCTGTTGATAAAGAAAGGAGTATTCGCTTTATGCTATAAACATAAAATTATCAGTCTACTGATGATTCATAAACAATAAAGATTTCTTCTTCTTCTCATTCTCCCTGCCTGTGTTTTCTCAGATGAGAGGGCCGCTGATGCATGCAGCTTGGTGTCCACCAGAATGTCAACTGGACAGACCTGGGATCTCTCTACTGCAAACAGAGAACATGTCTGATGCTCATGTTCAGTATTCTATAGCTATGTATGGTGTTTTCTTTCTTTAGTTGTGTCTTTTTCTCCCTGATTCCCCCCTCCCCCACCCCGTTGAGTTCTCCCTCTGCCACTTACCCCTAGCTCCAAATGTAGATTTATAGGTACCACCAGTAGCATAGGTTGGGCTCTTTCGAGCTGGTGTTTAAAAGCCGCATCACCACATCTATCATTCTCTTTATTGGGTACCGGCATTCGAGGGATGAATTGCGTGGTGCCATAGCTGTCAGGTTTGACTGTGGGCTCCCTTCTAAACTATCTGCGCCCTACGGTCTAGCACCTTAAACTTTAGGGTACTTTTCTGTTAGAAAGTGTTTCCTTAGTAAATGTTCATACAAGACCTATCCATTCGACAATGGAGTTTGGGGATTAGAGTTCCTTCTCCTAGCTGATTGTTGTCCACAGCCAATGAGGTCCATATATGGTCCGGGTTATGTGTGGTAACAAAGAAGTGACAGTCTACTGCCTGCTAAAACTACCCAACCTGGAGGACTAAGGTGTTTCTCTCTATATATATCTTCTCTAGATATTTTACCCGGCTCGGAAGGCTACACTACCGCCAGCATGGCTCTCATAGTTATTGAGAAAACAAGCTCCCTGACGACGTTTTAAGGAGACCAGTATATATTTAAAACTGAACGTCGGACATGTATTTACCACTCCTATATTCTAATATATTTACACACAGCAACAACTGTTATGTTTGCTGCCAGACACTAAGACTTGCCTTCTGGCTGTTCCCATTCTCTACTCTTCATATCTCCTTTAACGTGTTACGTCGTTTGTCCAGATAGTCAGAAAACCCTTGAAGTCAGAATGTGGTGATATGTAACCAGTCAAATTGTAATAACTTAATTTTCAATGAGGAATTTGGGTAATTTCACATATTTAGTGAATGCCATAACAGGAAAAAACAATAGAGTCCAACATACTATAGATATTATTTACAACATAATCGTACAAAAATAATGTTATAATGTGAATGCATTTGTTAGACAAATGATCATCTACTGTGCATTAAAAGAGTGGGTATTTACCACTTGAGAAGTGTATGCAGGGAATCTTTGAACCTGAGGGTTTAGCCCCGCAAGGTTAGCGCAGTCGCCATAGACTGTGAAGATAATGATCTGATTTTTGCCTTCAGAGAAAAATAAAATAATAATAACCTGACAGAGAATTTAAACCTGGGTCTCTCACTCGAGAGCTCACAATTCTTAACAATTCAGCCATCCGAACTACAGAGTCTAAATATAAACAATAATTATCAGATGCGTCTACAGTAAAAGCACGTGACAACCTACCAGCAGAAGTCAACAATGCAATAATCATCAAGAACAATCAATACCAAATACAAAACTCTCCAAAAAAAAAAAAAAAAAAAGATTTGCATAATTACATAAATGCAAATGCATAATATAGCTATGAAAACTAATAAGCAGTGCTTGCTAACGGAAACTGACGCTATCTCCTTTATCTTCCAACCATGGCAGTTAGAATAGCGAGAATAGAGAAATAGGCACGTCCCTATTTGCCTGTCTGCACCGGCACACATCATCTATTGCACAGTGAGGTTCACAAGTTTGGGTGTAGCAGGTTAAAACGAGGAAAATCTTGAATGCGTCAAGTTGAGAACATCATTCAACAGGTTTGAGAAGCGGATACGAGTGCTAGCAGAGTGGTGTGATTATTTTTCCTGTCTATATAAAAATAGACAGACAGATAAAAATACGGTCTGTTTGTATCCAACACATTTATCCGTACTGTGCTGTATACTTTTTAACTAAAATAGGCAGAGACTGCAGACAACCAAACCAATTGGTCTATCTATCTATCTTCTTTTACCCCACCAAGACATCACACACGCGATAAACACCCGATGACACAAAGTGCCACCATGAGGATCACCCGTGAAGAGGTCCCAGAAACCACGTTCAGCCATTAGACAATATTTATGGCCGGGCTTTATTGCAGCCCCTGGCAAGAGCCAGAGTAAGGCTTCAAATAACGAAAAATTGCATCCCAAAAAAGGATGACATCATATTATAAGCTCACCAGTTGACTGTGCCAGAGGCAGAATTTCCAGTTCTAATCCTTAAGAATTCTGCTAATGAAAAGGCAGTTATTTAAACTAACGGATCCGTTGTTTGACATGTGAAAATCTCATTTGCTTTGACGCTTCTGGATCGAAGAAGTAGTGTAAAGGCAGATAACAGTGTTTTTGCCTTAGCTACAAATAGTCTAACTATAGAGGTGATGGTGGTAACGAGAGCAGCGAAGTGGCTAGAAACACATATTCTAAGAGCATATTTGAGAAGACCGAAACAGAATGATTTTGAAGACAATGTTTGGAATTTCTGTGGAAATCTCGTCTGACTGAAATCAGTTTCATGTTTGTGCCAGGGCATTCAGGGGTAAGATGGACAGAACGAGCAGACTGGTCTGATGGTCGGCCCCCAGCAGGGACAGTTCACTTTTCACACATAGGCAGGCCAATGATCCAGGAAACGACGGTGAATAGGCGACATTAAAAAGACCACAAGAACTTAAAGTCACATGAGAAGAATAGTAAACCAACAGAGCTGATGTTATCGGTAACCACATGCTGGGGATATACTGAAGATGAGATCCGAGCGCTCAAAGACTTGTCCGATGTAAAATGGGAATAATCATTACATTAACAAAAAAGGCTTACATGCATGCAGAAACGCACGCACGCGCGCCCACACGCACGGATACACACATCCATTGTGACTGTAACATTACATGTAAGAACATGCTTATGTAAGAATAAAAACTGTTGCGCACTTCTCCGAACTAATCAACAAATCAGCTCACCTGATGTTGTGGTCACTTGACAATTCTCTCCTGCAATATTCTCCACCTGATTACACGCGGAGAATGAGAGAACTAGATCTCTTGTAACTCCATCAGAAGGTAGTGGAACGGTTGGATATGAAACACAGGAATCGCTACTAACAGCATCCCCTCCAAATGAAATCCTAGGATAACATGGCGTGGGTGTGTTGAAGCAGCACAATCTCAAGTGATTTGATCTGTTTAGTGTCAGGCTAAAGTTGCATGATCCAGGTATAGACAGGTTTCCCATCACACCATAAACAGTTAGATTCAACTGAGCTTTTTGTAAATCTGATGAGAAAATTGAAGTTTTTAAAAATTTTTTAATTTAAATTAAAATATATTTTGAACTGTTTCCACTATGTGGGAATGGAACGCACATGCAGAGAAAATCCAAACAGTCAAATCAGACGAAGACTCGGTCGAGAATAATACTTAACATTTAAAGAGGTTTTAGAAGGCAACGGATAGCATTGCATAAACATGACACAAAATGATAATATAAAACACGATGTAGTAACAACATACAGATCCAAAGAGAAATAAACAAGTCTGCTCTTTTTTAAATGATGAAGTGAATTCTGCTGCTCACAAATCAGACACCCCTCCCCCCCCCCCATTATAAATTAAATGCTACAATATATAAACATACTTCTTATCAAAATGAAATGTAGCTAAGTTAATTGTAAGAACCTTGTATTCTTATCCGCAGTCTAAATTTTTTTTTTATTGATTATGACCCCAATTATAACTTTATCTGAGGCCTAACAGGGTCATCTTCATAGCTAAAAAAAAAAAAAAAAAGTATGTTAACATTTTTCTTATGTGAGTTGTGTTGCAAGTTAGTTTTGTTGTTGCGAAAATCATATGTCACATTAACGCCAGCATTCAAATCAGAATGTTCTCACTACCGCTAAAGAGCTCGCTGAGTGATGGGCTGGAGTCTTTCAACAGTTTGTAAATGGGCATGCCTGAAATGTTCCTCCTGTAATTTAGCTTTCAGAAATAAAGCTGCATATCATCTGTGAAATACCATTTAAAGAAGGAATCTATAAAAAAAAAGCTAACAATATCCTAAATGATGAGAAAGCTGCTGGTTCAGATAATATCTCAGAAGAAGCTGTTAACATATAAGTAAAAAGTAAAGATCCCTTTTCACGCCTTTCGGCGCATCGGGCATATGGGCAGAGCGTCCCATATTATTTTTACAGACCATCAGCACTCTGTGGGTAATGTGGTCAGCATTACGCCGGCTGTCTTTACTTTCCCAGGACAGCCCATCCTGGTACCCAGGATTTTAGGCTATGTCGACCTGCGACGTCCCATACCACGACGAAAATCCACGCAGCCTGCAGTAGGTTTCGATCGCGGTATGCCGGCTTACGAGTGGGACTCGCAACGCTTTTGCCACGGACGCCGCTGTTAACATATACGACTATAGAATTCCGTAGTCTAAATAATACAAATTAGAGAGAAAGATATCAGACAAATAACAGAAATAGGCAGCCAGCAGGAGTGTGCATATTATAGAGATATTATGGTTCTGTCAGTTCCTGGCAATAGTCTAGTACGATTATTTTGTAAACATTATGAGATGTAATTGTTACACAGATAAGGAATGAACAGGAAGGAATTCAACAGAACAGATCTTACACTAGTCTATTGTCCACTCAGTGCTTACACAGTATTGAAGTGAATCTTTCACTTTATACTGGATTTGTGAATTAAGAAAAGGCCGTCATCAAAACTGACAAGTGATTTCTCTAGAAATTGATGAAGCACTATGAGATCTCAAGGAACAACATTAACTTAGTAAAGGCAAGATTTAAAGACATGAAATGTCAAATTCGTCACAAGGGAAAACTAATCTATACTTGTGCGACAGGGATGTATGGCTTTTGTTACATTTACTGGCAGTGAACTAGATTATGAAGGTAGTAGCAGTGACCATGAAAAACAGAATGTAGTTACCCTAGCAAAAAATGCCTGGTATTTTGGATTTTGTCGATTACATTTTCCCACACTCAGGGAATCATATACACAATTACTGTAAAATGTGGCTCACAATTCCAATTGGTATACAAGTTGACCACACGAGATTTAAAATAGCGAACAGTTCTACACATTACATAGGAGCTGAATGATGTTTAGCTGATAATGAACGATGCCAGAATACACAACCTAGATAATTTAGGGAGAATCTTGGGCTCGAGTTTTCATCTAAAGTTCATGTATTCTTATTCCTACACGCTGAACCCCAAGCAGAAAATGTCTTTTGGAAGGTGTGAGTATCGGCGAAGCGCCTGCAAAGTAACCTTACTCCTAAGCAGACATTGACTACCAGTCGCAAACTGATTTTAACTCTGGTTTCACTAGTTCTCTTGTAAATTTGCTTACTTTCGCTGTAAAAATGTACAATTTAGTTGGTTGAAAGGCGTTAACTGTTGAAAATAAACTGTCTATTTTTGTTTGATGTGAAAAGTGTCCGGTTTGGTTTGAAAAACATCCTAAGTGATTTGAAAGCCATCCAGTTTGGTTTGAAAAACATCCGGGGTCGTTGGAAAATAGACACTTTGATTTAAAAAAAAACCCACCCAGTTTAAAATGCTAAACAGTGTGGTAGCGTGTGAGTGTGTGTGTGTGTGTGTGTGTGCGCGCGCGCGCATGTGTGTATGTGTGTATAAACACAGACAAGAAGATGTGTCCTGAAAAGTCCAAACTTCACTCTCAGATTCAACAATATAGTATAAATTCGCTTGTCCAGTATTATACCAGCAGATGGGAATGCCCGAAACAATGATAATGGCTGTTCCCAAAGGTTTATGTGACTTTTAGCTGTTGGGCAAGCCCTCCTGGTGATTATGAGGGTCTAAGCTCTTTTTGTTTAGGACCACTCTAGGCTGACACAACAAGGCCACAACTAAACAAGAGAAAAAAGCAACAGATTTTCTGTAGTATCCAGACAGGTACATCCACACATCAACTTAAATCACCATAATCATTCAGACATACATCACTTAAGTGCAAATACCTTTACGAGTGTGCAGAGATCTAGAAAACAGGTGGCAGAGCCTGGGTGTGTATGGGTTAGTGTGTTCATAATTAGGAACAGTGGTCATGGTCCTAGGCAAGGAAAACAACACTAGCACAGAACATTATAATTATTTATACACACAATAAATACACACACGGGTAGGCTGAACAAACACATATAGAGTAGAAACAAGAGGTACTCTGAAAAACAAACCACTCCCTGTTGCCTTGGGCTGTTCCCTCCGTCCATGTACGATAATATTAACAATGCATCTTTACTTAACGTACTGTGTTCTCAGACCATGGGTTCTGCTACCCAAGACATCATGTATAACCGCCAAAAATTATAAACTGCACAAATTACTCAGACGACTTAAGTCTGAAACCTTCCGGCATCGTGAAAGTAACATTTAAGTGTTCCACTCGTAAAATACTCTTGTTACACAAAGCAGCACAATTCAGGATCCAATAGGTACGCATATAAATCACAGTTAACTTTCTGTGACTCCCAAAAGTGATGAAAAAAGCGGGAAGGGGAAAGGGGGTGGGGGTGGGGTGGATATTTAAAACAAATACCTTGATTTTTCAAGTTTTTGTTCTTGTAATTTGTTTTTGTTTGAATAAATCAAAATATTTCAAGACACCGAAAAAAGAAAATGCAGCAAATGATCCTTTAGAAAAATCCTTCACAATTATGACAAGTGATTTTTGTGTGTGTGTGTGGCTTTCATATGATGGTAAAAGACAGTAACCCTACTTTAGAAAAACCTGCTCGTCTCTATATCACGCGTTCATATCTTTATTTGCAATAAATTCGTGCTTTAAAATTCTAAGTTTTGTTTTCGGGGAATATTTACAAAATTACCGCTGTATTAGGGCATGCAGTTTTCAGGAAACCTCTGTGAAGTTAGAAGGATCGGGCTAAGCACTCCACACGTCTTAGCCACAAACGTTTGTCAATTGTTATGAACTCGCCCATACTTACTTTACTTTTCAGAGGATGTGTCCTTTAATTAAAGTGCATACATTGCATATTAGATTAGGAGTCACAGATGGACTGGAAAGTGGAAATATACACGTGCGAGAGGTACGGATAAACGATTACATGGATATAGAAATGTGTATGCATATATATGTGTGTATCTGTGTGTATATATAAATGTGAGCGTGTATATTTATGTATTTGTGAATGTGTGTGTGTGAATGAACGTTCACTCCGGGGACCCATACATTTTGTGGTTGCTTGGGTGCATACGTACGTGTGAAATCGCGCGAACCTGTTAATTAATGAGAATAAATGGAATGAAGTGTGTACGCCAGCAAAAACCTCATCAGCACACACCATCTACATCATTCACCAGAACATAATAAGAACGTAACGGACAGGTCACATACCAGGAACGGGACATAACTAAAAAAAAAAGTGACATGACCAGACGATACAACAGACATAGCGACACAATAAACAACACGCAAGAGATGGAAGTGTGAGTGTCCTTACGGGTGGATGTGCAAATTTTTCATGAATGAAAGTACAGTTATGTAGGCATTGATAGAGACACATGAAAGAGAATGCATGTGTACGGAATGTCAAACAGGTATCAAACACGGATAAGTATGATAGGAAGTGCAGACATGTAGTTTTGTCGAGTGTATGAATGCTCGAGTGCATGTACGCATACCCTTAATTGTGTGCGTCCATATATTCCGGGGATTCATTCTCAAAACCATCCCATTCCACCTCATGCATACAACATAAACATGGCTGGTGGGGCTCACAGCAGGATATGACTGACAGCAAATAAGGAATACAAGTGGATCGATACTGACAGGACTAGAACACTTAACCAACAATTCCACCCCATCAGTGGGCTGAAAACAAAGGTTGATGACGTGATACGAATAATCCCGGCTAAAGGTCACGCTAGAATCTAGCAAGACGGCATGACTAAATGGCCTCTCGTCCTCTTTCCCCTCACCCTTTCCTACCTCTTTCGGATGCACTATGATTTAAATCGTCCACCCCATTCCCACAGAGAGCACTTGAGTTCGGTACCCAACATGCCACAGCAATTATCATCGCCGAACATTTGGATCTCAAAGCGTGAGCTGGGTTTTCCGTGTATATAGTATTTACCTACAATGGAGCCTAGCTGCCAACCCAAACCGACACAACCGGTTGAAACGTTAACAAATGACGAATAGAACCGCTTTGAGGCTCCACCTTACATTTCACACACATATCCAGGACTTGACCAACCCATTCTTATACCAAGAAGACAACTATAAGACCACTATGGTCCACACGAAATATTTTCACATTTCGGAACTATCCCAAATCAAAAACTGTTTTCAGTAATTTTTGGCAAAGTAAAGTACTCAATATTTCAAAACTATAAATGGTGATCCAAAGGACGTTGTGTGGAAAAGCTCGCTCTCGTACGATATACGCCCGGTCAAATCAGAGGGAGATGAAACCAAGAGGAAACACCAAGACATAAAAGGAAAGACATACACAACTAACAAAAGGGTAGAGAATGAGTGGTCTGACACGAAAGGAAGCATTAAGTCCAGTAAAGGCGCAATTACTAAAATTTTAGTCACGAAAGTGACGCAAATAACTCAGACTACAAATATAGGCGGAGACTTTTAGCAGCTTCAGATAGCTAGCAGCAGTCTGAAAGTGGTCGAAATTTTCATTTTGTTCCTAAAAGGAATCAGAAACCGTAACACAATATAAATAGAATGTCTTGCAGTGGGTCGAGGGATTAAACTATATAAAAAGATGAGGAAGAGATATTAAGAGTAAATTGAAAAGATAGGACAGACACGGGGTAAGAGTCAAGTTCTAGAGAAAGAGTCTCGGCACATTTACAGTTCGAAGCTATCAGATAGGCAGAAAGTCCGGTGAATACATATGTCCGTGGCATCAGTCCTGTTCGCTATCGAACAGAGCAGGCTTATTGGGAGTACAAGGCCTGGTGTCTCCAATGTATGTTTATTCCGAAGCTCCGCTGGCCGCTGCTGGCGGTCGCTCATTACCGCAGACAGCCGAGTCGTCAGCACCTCTCATCTCCCGCTCGATCGCTAGCTCTTCATTTGTTAACTAGATACTTGACACCGATTCGCTAGATTATTGGCTGAGTCAGTCTTGACTAGTTATCGTTGTCGACGTCGCGTGTGGCGTTTAAGCAGCCCATTTGCAAAACGATTGTCTTGTAAATTGTTTGGGAAAGCACCCTTGGTGTCCTTCTCAGGACACTTAACAAGGCTTGCCGACTCTGCGGGGATCTAGCTTTCGATATACATCGCCAATCACAGCAGTTTTTCCGACATGGGAAAAAACAGACTCAAGCCGCTGCACAAAAGCTAAAGAAGATACCGGCCAAGTCTAACCATGGCCAGGTGGACGCCATCGTTGCAGCCTCTACACCAGCATCGGAGGAAGGCACCTCTGTCGTGGCGCCTCATTCACCTAACAGAGGGATGCCAGCACAAGGAGGCCGCCCCGATCGTGGCGCCAGCACCTGAAGCATCCCCTATCGTGGAGCCATCACCTAAAGCCACCCCAGTATCCGTCTACCAAAGCAGCAGCCTAGAGCCTTCAGCGGTGATATCATTCAGTGCTCACGCTGCAACAGGGCGTGGCACACCGCCGCGACCTGCACCAGCAGCCCGTTGTGTCGGTACTGTTCTGGCCCACAAGACTTCAAGGAGTGCCCCCTGGCAAAAGCTGATCCAGATTTCAGGAAGCCTAACCCCAGCTAAAAATGTTCTAACTGCTCAGGGGAACACAGCGCCAGGTACCTTGGATGCCTGTACCTGAAGTGCATCAAGAGAGGAATGGCCACTGCCATAACCAGAAACGCTCAGCCAGTGGAAAAAAAAAAGAGGTACGAAGCACCCAGAATAACCCAACCTTCATTCGCTGCAGCAGAAACAACCAAGCTGCAGAACCAAATAGCGCAAATGAAAGCCGCAATGGGATCGCTCAGAAGGGAAAAAGCAGCATCCGAAGTCAAGAGAGCCTAGGAAAGAGACGAGATGACAGGACTACGAAGCCTAATAAAAGACTTACCCAAGACCCAGAAACGCATGGAGGCGGAAATCGCTGACACAACTCAATTCAAACTAGATATGAGGGCCGTGCTGTCATGCATACAGACCAAAAAGAGAAGGCTGCCGAAGAAAAGCAGAACAACTACAAAGCAACCAGGGCCAGCAAGGAACTACTTTTAAATGAGGTGACACTACTCAAGGAGGCCACCCAAAATCTGCAGAAATTACTCAAACAAGACACATAATTTAGGAGAAAAGGAGGGCCGAAACAGAGGCTACAGCCGCCTACTCAATGCGCAGCCAATGATGATGCCACACCCAGCGAGCAAGTTAAGAAAATGACGACCGGTAGGGTAGACTGCGAGGCCGAGCTTCAAGCGATGCTTGAAGACTTCAACAAACAAGTGTACCCGTACAAGCTAGAGTTTGACGACGAAAGCAGCCGCTATTGTATCGTTTACAAATGGGAGGTGCTCGAGAAGAAAGACCAAACACCCGAAGACATAGAAAAGAGCGAAAAATGTAACAGATTCTACGATGAAGTAAATGCAGTCCTGAACCAACTACGCGCGCAAAAGAAAAAAACAAGGGAAACATGGCACGCCAAATGGAAGAGGTTATCGCCAGTTCTAAGGCCACAAAAGAGAACCCCTGAACAAGCCGCCATCTTCACGGACAGCTCAACAACGATCGCCAGCCCTGATGGACAGCCACGGTGTGACCCCGCCCATCCCCATTTGAGGCCGCCCCAGGTAAATGACAGCCCTTCTTAGGGCTGCCCCACCCACTCCCAAAAAACCAGACTACACCAGCCAAGCCTAATCGAGCAGTCATGACGCAGCAGCAAACACCCGAACTTGGGCGAGAAATGATCGCCACATCGAATCGAACTAAATCAGATAGCAATGAAATCGTCCCTAACAAAACAGGCCTTAGGGCAGCTGAACGAGGTCCAAATTTGACATTTTTGTTTGGTTTCTACGATTACGATTGCAAGCTCAGTAGAAGCAATGGAGTAGAAAATCAATATTGCTTGGAGAAAATGGCACGGAGCGCCGCCCTGTCTGGCCTACGTGACTCTTTATTGTAAACAGGCTAAGCTGGTATTTCCTGTCAAGCCGATATTTAAAGAGATTTGATGTAGGCAAGGCCAGACTCGCGATAATATTGTGAGAGTCTGCGGACAATATAGTCAACGCTGTCCAACCTGCGCCAAAGACTATGGGAGAAAGTGGAAGGTGTATGATGCGATATAATCTGCCCAAAATGCACTAAATATACAGCTTTAGAAAAAAAAAAAGGGGGGGGGGGGATTCCAGAGAATCAAGAAGTGATGAAAAAATGCTGATGTTGTAAAAGACACACTATGTGTAAAAGGTAATAGTTCATAGTTTGCCCATCACAAGTGATGAGAACCACTCTTTCTTTCATCCATCATGAAGTAAATGTTTGTAAGTCCGAGGGTGACTTTTTAAGTCCAAAGCGTGCCCGAAAGAATCTAGGACAATGAGGGCAGGGCACAGTGTCTGTAGATAAAAGGCCTGTTTGGCGGGAGAATACTTAAACCTATACTACAGAAGACTGAAGAGTTTAGGTCAGATATCGCAGTCTAGCTGTAAACCACAACATAACGTGTCAAACACCCTTTTAAGGCAAAAAGAACAATTATCACCCAGCGGGGAATCGAACACCACTTATCCACGTGAAGGGTAGATACTTACAACTATGCTACAGAACACTGAAGAGTTTAGGTCAGATATCGCAGCCTAGCTGTAAACCACAACACAAAGTGCCAACGGCCCTCTCGAGGGCGAACGAAGATTACCCGTGACATGACCATTGAGCATCACGTCACCGCTATCGCAGGCTAGTTGTAAACCCCAAAACCGAAAAAAAAGGTTTAGATATCGCAGCCTAGCCATAAACCATAACAGAGCGTGCCAGCAGCCCAGTTAAGGGCTAAAAGAAATGAATATTATATCACCTAGCAAGGAATCGAACGCGGGTCACTCGCATGCGAGGCAGGATATTTACAACTTCGCTACCAAACACTCAAGCAGATTGTGGAAATGAAATTATATAGTAACGCAAAGTTCAATAAGAGCTCAGCAGTCAAAAATGGCCAATCAATTAGAAACAAATCCGGGCCGGTAACAAAACAAATAATGATTTCATAGTTGCTAGAGTTACGTCGTTCGTGGTTTGTGCGATATTCTGACAAAAATTCACGCTTTGAGACAAAGGCAACGTTGTTTAAAAAAAAACTGAAAGCAATCGGTTCAGTAGTGTCTGTCTATAGTTAACAAACTCGGAAAATTAACATTTTTATTAATATAAGATTAATGTCCTGCCCTGGCAGTACTGGTAAAGGGATAAAGATAGACACCACGGAGAAAAAAAATTGAGAGTAAGGTGGAAGACACAACGTGAGCTAAATGTGGTGGTAAATGACAGCGATAGGGTGATTTCATATAAGCTTGTTGAGGGTGGATGTTTTAACAGAGGAATAAAGTGCAAACTAAGTAATTATCATAGGGTCATACTCACATGTAGTAATAAAAGAATACTCACCATACATTTTCCACAAGGTCACATTATTTTCAGAATATATTCTATATGTTAGGTTGTATTCCCACACTGCTCTGGCTGTTCCTTCACTGTGGACTACCCATGCTTCAAGATTCGCCACAAAACGAGCCATTCCTGTTGCTAAGTTTTTATCAGTGCAGTAACACAATCTGGTGAGGTTCGGATACTTACAATCATGTGTAGTTATATAGGCAATGCACGGTGGCTGAAACAACAGTAAACATGCATTTATAAACATTTTTTTTAACAATGTAAGTAAAAGTACAGTAAAGTAAAGATCCCTTTACACGCCCATAGGCGCATCGGGCAAATGGGAAGAGCACCCATATTTTTACAGACAAATCGGCACTCGGTGGGTAATGTCAGCATTACGCCGGCCGTCTTTACTTTCCCAGGACAGCCCATCCTGGTACCGATTTGAGGCTGGGTCGACCTATACTACGATAAAAATCCACGCAGCCCGCAGTGGGTTTCGATCGCGGTACGTTGGATTACGAGTCAGACTCGCAACGCCTTAGCCACGGACGACGCATTTTAACAATGTGTTACGATTTTAAAAGAACAATCACTATTTTTTTTTTCTTCCTAGTTGACAAATAATTGTTTTGTGTATCAAGAGATCAGTGGTATGCAGTTATTTAAAACTAGCTGTAACCACCACGCGTTGTTGTGGCTCAGTCTGGAGAAACGGAAAAGAAGGAACATAAAAGGCGCAGGTTTCTAATATGGTTAAATCAGAATCATTTTCTGTACAGATATAGAGATACTCTGGTTTGCCAACTTTAGAACACGCAAAGCATAAGTGTGTCTTTATATTAGTCAATATATGGTTTTTGTTTGTTCAACACAAGCTAAAGCTTTTTTTTTAAACATCTGAAAGTAAAGCTTACTACTGTACTTCTAAATGACAAATAACCACCACCACCCCCCCCCCATATATAATGTTTTAAGCTCTCTCAGTTGACAATGTCTGCTTGTTTTGTGTGCATATCTGTAAAACAGATTTAACTTATTTGTATGCAGACTGTTGCTTTCTCAATTCTAAGGCAGTTACACACTGACTTCGAACAACACCTAGCTAATTAAAAGGCATTGTACTACCTGCTTGTTGGGGGGGGGGGGGGCGATGATCATTCCATTTCCCCAATAATAGGGCCACGGAATCCATATGTTCAACTGTTTTATTACAAAGGCAGGTTGTTTAACAAGCAATCTATATGAATTTGTAGGCGGGGTGTCAATAATTGAAACAAAATGGCAATGTGCTTGCATAGGCTACTAAGTATGTGATGCAGAATGTTCTTGGGTAGCCAATTGTCTGATCTTCAATGCCGGCATAGTATCTGCTATGAATCTTTCAGAAAGTAAGGGAAAATGAGGACACGGGGAGAGCTCCATGAAATGGCGAAGGATAGAACGGCGTGAGTTGGTCGAGGGCCTATGCTCCATTGGGGATAGAAAGGCAGAAGAAGAAGGGCGTTTAGGGTCTTGCAATAAATTCAAAATTCAAAGGAGGGGCGTGGACGGACTTGCCATGTGCTCATGGAGGGGTGGGCGTGGAGGGTTTTGTCTTATGCTAATTGGGGGAGGGGGTTGAAGAGTCTAGTCATACATTCATGAAGGGTTGGGGGGGGGGGGGGTAGTGACCATAGGGCGCGGGGCGTGGATGGTTTTGCCATCTATTTATGTTGGGGATGGGTGGGGGAGAGGGGTAAGTGCTCATAGGGCTTGTGGATGGCCTTGCCATATATTCGGAGGGGAGGGGGGCGTGGATAGTCTTGCCATATATTCCTGGGGGGAAGAGGGGCATGGAAGGCCTTGTGATGTACTCGTGGGGAGGGTGACAGGGCGTGAAGGGTTTTTCCATTGAGCCTATGGGGGGAGGGGGGCAGAGAGTGGAGGGTATTGCCATTGTGCTTTCAGATGGGGGGGGGGGGCATGGAGTTTAGGGTCCTGTAATTGTGCTTATGGGGGGGGGGGCAGGGGGTGGAGGGTCATGACATTGTGCTTTTTGGGAGTAGGGGGCAGCGAGTGGAGAGTCTTGCCCTGTGCTTATCAGAAAATAAGTGGGTTTTCGGAAAAACAAAAGCACCACAGAACACATTTTCAGCATCAGAACAGTTATAGATAAATGTCAACAACATCAATGCCACCTATTTATAACTGTATCGTCTTCACGAAGGCATTTGACCGTGTGTGGCTCTGAAAAATAATGAAAATTTTAACTTCTTTGAGGACATATTCACTTTTGAAGCACTTTTTGGGTTGCAAGCAGTTCAGTACTCATTAAAAATGACATAGGCAAATGTTTCAAGACTAGTGTGGGAGTGAGACAGGGTTGCAAAACATCACCTGTGCTTTGCAGTTTGTATTTGGAACACACAATGAGAGAAACACTAGACTAGAATATTATGAAACATTTATATCCACTGGCGGAAGACAATTGTGTACTTTACCTTTTGCACATGCATGCTTTATAGATTACAAAAAAAGCTTTCGACAGAGTTCAACATGAACAACTAATTGCAGCTCTTCAAAACATAGGACTAGATGGAAAGGATATCAGACTTATTAGAAACTTATACTGGGAGCAAGAAGCAACAGTAAGATATGACAACATCTGCTCACCCCAGATAGAGATCAAGAGAGGAGTAAGACAAGGATGTGTGCTGTCGCCTAGCCTTTTCAACTTATGTACAGAAACCATTTTTAAAGAAATTGTAGAATTATCAAGACTGAACATCAATGGTAGAAAAATAAACAATCTGAGATATGCTGACGACACAGTGTTGCAAGCAGAGAGTGAGCATGAGTTGCAAGACCTAGTAGAGCAAGTAAACAGAAGGAGTGCAGAATTTGGATTAGATAATAATTTGAAAAAGACAAAAACCTTGATATTTAGCAAAGAAAATAATGAGCTAACAATCAATATCACAGTGGATGGGGTGAAACTGGAACAAGTTAACAATTTCTTATATCTTGGAAAAGTAATAACATGTGACGGCAGAAGTGAAACAGAAGTCAAGAAAAGAATAGCGATGGCCAAAAACGTTTTCAACAACATGCAAAAGTTACTGACATCAAGAGAAATAATCAATACATTAAAAATGAGAATTGTCAAATGTTATGTATTCTCAACCTTACTGTATGGCACAGAGACATGGACAATGAACAAACAACTGGAAAATCGTATCAATTCTTTGGAGATGTGGATATACAGAAGATTAGGTTGTATTTCATGGAAACAAAAGCTATCAAATACAGAGGTGCTGAGGAAATTGGGAATGAAAAAAAGAGTTGCTAGGTGAAATAAAAAAAAAGACAAGTGAAATATTTTGGTCACATTAAAAGACATAACAGTATTGTAAAGATCATCCTAGACGGAAAGGTTTAATGTAGGCGAGCAAGAGGCAGACAGCGTTACAAGTGGGAGGATAACATCAAGAGATGGACGAACAGCAGTATGAGTGAGTGTACATCAAGGGCAAGAGACAGGGCTTGTTGGAGATCCATTGCAGCCAACCTTCATTGTGGAGACGGCACCTGATTGGTTTATTAATTGATTGAGACGTCATAGATCGCATACTTAGTTCTGAGGCAGAACTCCAAGAACAGAATACAAAATTAGAGAGAGTCTGTGGTAAATATGACATGGAAATTCATGCTGAGAAAAGAAAGATTCTGGTAATTAGTCGTAATAGCTAAGTACCTACCAACAGACAGATAAAAGGAGGATTCAGGCTTTCGAATGTAAATGCTACAGACGCATTTTAAATATTCAAATTCGGGGGACATTGGCGCCTCTCTTGGCAGTGGTGAAACGTCGCAAGCTAGCTTGATTTGGGCACGTGGTGAGACATGATACGATGGCAAAGACTGTACTTCGAGTAACAATAGGGTGGAAGGGACGGGGTTGGATGGGGGAGGGTAGTCGAAGAAGAGATGGACATAGAAGAATCTGAAATGACAACATCAAGAAATGGACATGATTAAGTTATCATACACTTATTCATCAAACAGAAGACAGAGAAAACTGTATGTGCTAGTGCTTCTATCAATACACCACCACGACCCTAATGGGTCACGGGTTATGTTATGTTAGGGCGTGGAAAGTTTTGCCATATATTCAACTTCAGGCGGGGGGGGGGGGGGGGAAGGGGTTATATATTTTACACACACAAATTATTAAATGTGCGACATGTTGCTTTATGATACTTACAAGGGATTCAAATCCTTTTGTATTTATAACTTGAATAGTAACTGCACTGTGCCTGCCCAGTTCAATAACGTCTGTGTTAGTAACTGTGCCATTGATAAAAATCCAGTCTATCTCTGCTCTTAAGCCAGTGGTACAAGGCGATACTTTCTGCAACGCATCCAGTGTAATTTTCTGACACAGAGTTCCTAAACAATAAAACAAAATTGGTGGAAAGGGTACAATAGCAAGGCATACAGTTATTGTGAGTGTGTGTGTATGTGTGTGTGTGTGTGTGTGTGTTTTGTGTATCTCGATTTCATAAATTATTCAGAAAATGATGACAGTTTGGGTTTACCATGCATCCTTCATGACCTTTCAGCAAGATTTGATTCACCAATTTTCTAAGCATGAAAATCATTACTGTATTTCTAGTGCAATTGACAATTTGGGAAAGAGGGGGGGGGGGGGGGGGGGGAGGCAGGTAATGCTTACTATAGTTCAATTTCAGAGAAAGTTCTTCTTCTTCTTTCGTTCGCATGAAATAAATTGTCTATATCTGCAAAGCCGTCTCTTGTATGAATTTCACTGTCTTTTGTAATTCACTAAGCGGCCCGTAAAGTTTGACTTCCACAAGTGTCTCTTTTGGCCAAATGTTTTGCCTGAAAGCGTTGAATATAGGACAGTCTTGAAGGATGTGATCTGTTGTTTCAGGTGCCAGTCCACAAGTACACATGGCCGATTGGCCAATCTTAAATTTGTTGTACATGTGGGAGCGAAGTCTATTGTGCCCTGTTCTAAGGCGAAGGATAATAACTTGCTCTGGTCTGTCCATAATATGGTAATCATCTTGTGCCAGTTTCGGTGGCATTCTGATTGATTTGATCATTCTCTTCTTCTGTTGATAAGAGACTGGTATGTCAGGTTGTTCTTCAGTTGCACCTTCCTTAGCTAGTTTATCAGCTTTTTCGTTTCCGGGAACTCCACAGTGGGAAGGTATCCACTGCAATACTAATTTACAGCGGTTGCCTAGTTCGGATAATAGTGTCCGTATGCTTGGTAATTTTCCAGACTGGAGTGACTGAAGTACTGCTTTTGCATCTGTCAGGAATACCACTGGTTGTGAAAAATACCCTGTATTTAGTAGTTTCTCTACCGCTATCTTGATGGCTTGAACTTATGCATCATAGTTGTGACAGTGCTTTCCCGTTGGTAATTTGGCTGTATCCCTGGTATTATTAGGATACTCAATGTACACTCCCGCACCTACGTTTCTGACTGCGCTTTGTGCTGACCCATCTGTGTAAACACGGACCCAAAGGTTCTGCGGGTATTCATCATCAAGTAAACTGAGGGTGGCTGTTTTGCGCTGCACACTGTTTTGTTCTTCCTTGTCAAATACCCCTTTCACTTCAGTCTTGATGTGTATTGGAAACTTAAACTCCTCTCTCCAAGGGGTCCGTTCTGGGACAGCATTTAAGGATCTATCAGTTGCAGGTAAATCAGTGGTTTGTCTGCCGAGCCGTTTGGCCTGGTGGATAAAACTACTTCTCTTTAGTCGTCCCAAAGCTAAATTTTTGAATCTTTCATTCATAGGGTGACTGGGCATACTAAAGAAACTTTTCTGCTTGTAAAAGCATCTGGTGTCTCTGCGTTCACTTAGTGCTTGGGTCATCCCCATTTTCTCCATCACAGCTATAGGTGTTGATTTCATACTGCCTGTGGTAACTCTGAGTGCTTGATTTTGCACTTTGTCTAATTCTTGCAATGTGGTTTTTGATGCCGAACTCCATGCTGTTGATCCGTATTCAAGATGTGGTCGAACACTTTGTTGGTAAACTTTTCTAAGTATTTTCCCGCTAGCACCCCATGTGGTTCCACTTAGTTTTCTCAGAATGGCTACCCTTCTTCTGGCTTTGGTTGCTGCCTTGTTGATGTGTTTTCTCCATGTTAATCTATCATCAAACGTTACGCCGAGGTATGTGGGCTCCTTATCCTCTCTCAAGGGTACTCCATTTATGTGCATGGCGCCTGATTTTTGTTTAGGAGAAAGGGTAAAGAGAGTGGTGCTGCATTTGCCTATGTTGATGCTGACACACCATTTGTCGGCCCATTTAGCCATTGCATCTATGGCTCAGAGAAAGTAAAATTTGTACTGAGATGTTTCAAATGCCCCAGGATACTGATGAAGAGAAATGATTATGTCATATGAGTGGTAGCAGAGTTCTACATTTTCTTCTTCTACTTCTTTTTCTGCTTCTGGTGCTGCAGCTGCTTCGTCACCTTCTTTATCTTTTCTCCTTCTTCCTCATCCTCTTCTGCTGCTTCTTCTTCTTCAATCTTTTCTTCTTCTTCTTCTTTCTTCTCCTTCTAATCTGCTACCTTTTGTTCTTGTTCTTCTGCTTCGTGTTTTTTTTCTGTTTCTGTTTCTTTATCTGCATTTTCTTCTTCTTCACCATCTTCTTCTTCTTCGCCCTCCTTCTCCCCTCTTCTTCTTGCTCCTCCTCCTCTGCTTCTTTTTTTTTCTATTTTGCTTCAGCTACTTCTTATTCTTTACCTCCTCATCCCCTCTTCTTCTTCTACGGCTGCTTCTTTTTTTTTTCGTCTCCTCCTGTGCTTCTTTGGCTGCATCATCATCATCATCATCTTCTTTTTTCTGTGCTAGCAGAAAAAAAAAAAAAAAAAGAAACACAAAGGAAAAGGGGAGATAAAGGAAACATTTTAATTAGGACAAAAAAGTAATGTTTTCCCGCTAAACAGCAAAAACAGGAAAGTGAAAAAAAAAAGACAAAGGTTATTCTGCATATGGATTCTGGAATATTCCACCCGAACCGAGACAAGAAATATCTGAACAACTCTATGTTACACACACTAACACACAAGATGACTACACACACCTAGATGAACCATGTGCACGGACTACAGACCCTAAATTAAATCAAGCTAATAAATTATAATCATCACATTGAACAGCTGTTTATTTTAATGAACTCAACACAAAATTAACGTATACTTCACAGATAATACATTAACAACAACCAACATGCTCGATCAGAATCTAAAGTGCTAATCATTTCAAGCTAACATGGAAATATGATGACACCATAGGCTCAGGAAGATTACCTCAACAATTGCAAAAACCTAGACAGATTTAACATGTACGTTAAGCTTCAATATACCACCAGACCAACATATCATTTACAGCGGCCTGCAATCAAACTAGACCAGGAGCAGACTGCTTTAGTGACCATGTTCCAGTTGTAGGAAAAATTAGAATAAAACTAAAGAACATTAGAAAAACATCACAGAACATCAAGTTTAATATAGGAATTCTTAGAACGGATAAAGAAATTAAGGAACAGTACAATGTCACTGTACAAAACCGGTATAATGCAATGGAAATTATACAGACTATTGATTAACAGTGGGATATGTTGCGTGAGTCAATTCAGCAGACATCAAAGAGACAATCTCACCTACCCATAGAGTTGCAAAAAAGAAATGGATGTCAAAAGATATTATGCAGTTGATGGATGAAAGAAGGAAGAAAAATAATTATAAAGAAGAATACTCTAGAATACAAAAAGAAAAAGTGAACAAATGCAAACTGGCTAAAGAAGCCTGACTGAATCACATGTGTACAGAGATTAGGGAAAATCACAGGAAAGACTCACATTCTATGTACCAACAGATAAATATGTTAACAGGAAAGATGACACGTAACAGCACTGGATGTTTGAAATCAAAAGATGGTGACTTATTAATGGGACGTGGTAATATAATGAACAGATGGACAGAGTATATAGGGGAATTGTATATTTATAATAGTGGGTATATTCCGAATGAATTTTAAAAATCCATATTTATAGCTCTGATAAAGAAACCAGACACTTTAAAATGTGAAGACCATCGCAAAATAAGTCTTATGAGTCACATGACTAAAATTTTACTGAGAATAATTATGAGAAGAATAAGAAACACAATTAAACCAGAAATCAGCAATGAACGATGTGGATTTGTAGAAGAAAAATGTACAAACAATGCCATATACATTCTTAAGACATTGTCAGAAAGAGCTATAGAAGTAAAGACTGATTTGTACTTGTGCTTCATTGACTATACAAAAGCTTTTGACTGTGTGAAGCATGAAATAATCAAACTGTTAGAAAAATGAAACATTGATGGCAAACAGCAGCTATAAGAATTAACAACTGTTTAGGTACATTTCAAAGCATAAAGAGGGGCGTACGACAAGGATGTGTACTGTCACCTGATTTGTTTTCAATATACAGTGAATATATAATGAGATCTTTAATTGATATGCCCGGAATTGTAGTTGGTGGCACAATATAAACAATTTTCGTTATGCTGATGACACGGTCTTGATAGCAATAAGTCAGAAAGAACTACAGGAAATAATCGACATTGCGGTGTTAGAAAGTGGAAGAATGGGCCTCAGTTTGAATAATGGGAAGACAGAAATAATAGTGGTATCAAAGAAACGAATTATTCCTAAATATGTAATAAAAGTCGATGGTGTTATTTTAGAAAAAGTACAGAAATTTAAGTATCTTGGCACACGGATAACGTCAGATTAAAGATGCATAACTGAAATAAGAAACAGTATAGGACAGGCAAAAACTGCATTTTATAAAATAAAAAACATATTGCAATATATCCTTGTCATTGAAAAATAGAAAAAGAAATCTTGCTTGCTACATACATCCAATTTTAGCATATGGATGTGAATCCTAAACAATTGGTGGGCAGGCCAAACAATTTCTTGAGGCCTCAGAGATGTTGTTTTACAGAAGAATGCTTAGAGTACCTTGGACAGCCAAAATGAGCAACCAAAAGGTTTTGAAAGAGTCGGGAGCCCGAAGACAAATTATCTCAGACATCAGAAGGAGACAGTCGTCATTTTTCGGTCATGTTATGAGAAGGAAGAGGGAAAACAAAACATGTTGTGACCACTGGAAAGATCTGTGGAAAGAGGGATAGAGAAAGACAATGAGAGAAGATGCTTGACAGTCTTGTTGCATGGCATGGAGGTGTGTCGGCACACGAACTGATATATGCTGCAGGAGATCGCAGATTACGGATAGGCATGATCGCCCACGCCGTTCGGCAAGGTACCTGATGATGATGATTATTATGTGTCGAACTTGAGGCCAGTTTGCCTTAGAAACCATAACATTAGTCGTATAAA